TGTTTTGGTTTTTTCACATTTATTCATGATTATTGCTCATCGAATCTATTGATTTTGGAAGATTTTGGAAGATTTTGGAAGATTTTGGAAGATTTTGTTTTGATTTCATGAAGATTTTGTAAGATTTTGATTTTGGAAGATTTATTATCATCAAGAATTCGATTTCGTTTTCGTGAAGATTTTATTTGATTTCGATTTCGTTTTCATTAAAGATTTTGGAAGATTTTGTTTTTGGAAGATTTGATTATCGTGTAGATTTTGTAAGATTTTGATTTGATTATCGTGAAGATTTTGTAAGATTTTTGTTTTGATTTTCGTGAAGATTTTGCAAGATTTTTGTTTTGATTTTCGTGAAGATTTTGTTTGTATTTGATTTTTTTTTGTTTTTTGTCAAGAATTTGTTTGATTTTTATTTTCTTCAAGATTTTGTTTGAATTTCATTTTTTGTTTTCCTCAAGATTGTGGAAGAATTTGATTTTATTTTGTCAAGATTTTGTTTGATTTTGATTTTTTGTGAAAATGAAACCTATTCCGGAAGAACTTAAAAACAAGCTGTGGGCTTGCCGTCGAAATATCACCATGTTGCCAGCTAGACGTTGGGATAAATATCAAACACTGAATTTGAAAATAGAATTAATGTATTTGCATGAACAATTGGTTGAATTATTGGAACCTGATGAAGATGTACCGGATGCTTTATTGAAAATGATGATTTTATATGATGGTCGTGTTAATGATTTTTTGAAACGTTTTGATTTACCGGAAGTTAACAACCGATCTGTGAAGAATAAAGATATTGTTCAACAAAAGGAAAAGCTATCTTTGGATTCTTCGATCACAAAAATAAGGGTTGATCAATTACCGATGTTTGATGGCGAATTTTCAAATTGGAAAGTTTACAAAGGTATGGTCGAAAATTTGTTAATATACAATATTTCATTTAATGAAGAATTGAAAAAATCGATATTATTGAAAACAATGACAAATGAACCAGCCCGTATTGTTAATAATTTGATCGGTCAACAAATGTCATCGCCAGATATTTGGAAAAAAATATGTGAAAAATTCGATGTTCATCAAGATGCGATTTTAGAAATTAAAAATGAATTGAATCTAATCCACCAAATTGATAACGAAAATCAAACTTTGAACTTGAAGAAAGAAAAAGATATTGTTGAATTCAAAAATGAACAATCATCTACACCTGTAGAAGAGTTGATGGAACCGGAATTAGAAAAAGATTTGAATTTCGACAATGATGATTTGAACAACGATAGAGATAAAGATGATGTTATTGAGTTCAAGCGACGATTTGATCAAGTGATTGGACGTTTTTTCGATCCGTATGAATACCTTGATTTACGAAAATTGAAATTAAGTTCTTGGAATCGTGAAGTTTTGACCAATGATTGGGATGAACGATTGTCTGATCATAATATTAATGGAGCGTTGTCTCTTTTAGACTGTGTGGAAGAATTGAAGAAATTGAAGATGAATCGTAATCTTGTTACTGGTGGTGACGTTCATGCTTTTGCTGATGTCAAATTTCATTTTCCGAACAAAGTAACGATTTGGTCAGATTCGATGATGAATTTACATCGTCATGGCTCGTCTTTCAAGAATCTCGAATTAGCTGATCGTAGTAGAATTATTGATTCAAATTATTGTTTGAAAAATTTTAAATTTGTTGTTGATGCGAATTGTTTTGATTTTAAAGATTCAAATTTATTCAAAACTCATCGAATATCGTCATTGAGTACAAAAGATTTTGAATTTGCTGATCAAGTTGAAGATTTTGTTGAAAAATTGTTACCTATTGGAAACACAGCAATTTACCGGTGGAATTTAATTTTCAAATTGGCTCAACATGGTCATGATGTTGATAAAATTAAATTACCAATTATTATTGATGATATTATTGAAATTAAAACTCGGGATCCTAATTATTGTCCTATATGGATACCGAAAAATTCGTCTTTGGTTTTTCGTTTATTTTTGGAAAAATTGACGTATGATTTGATGATTTTTGTGGATAAGCTATTACCTCTAGGTAATACATCAATGAAAAGAATGATTTTGATCTACCGATTTTATCGTAACCGAAAGAAAATGATTTACGATAATGAAATTTTTAGCAAATTGGATAACCGAAAATTTGAATGGATATTTTTTCCACCTGGTGCATTCGTAATTGCATACGGACGACAACAACCGACAAACGTTGATGTTTTGGAAACAAATGGAATTTGGCCGATTCGTTTGAAAGTTTTTCGATTTAAATTTAAAAGAACTGGTATTCATGATTTAGTGTCTTACGATCGTATTTTCAGATGTAATTTATGGCTAATCGNTTTATTAGATGACAACGAACTGATATTCCCTTTCCGCGCCGGGAGTGTCATGAAGCAAAAACATTCTAAAATCAAGTTCGATGTTCCGAACTTAAATCTTTGTTCTATTCGAACTTTTGTTCTATTCAAACTTTTGTTCTTAATTGTTCTAAACTATTTTTTAAGTCATTCGGTGTCTAGAAGCGAATCATGAATAAACTATTAGATTTNTTATTTTATTTTTGATAAAATTTGAACAAATCTATCATATGTTGTTGTTGTTGTTGTTATTGAAATTGATAGGTGGATAAATTTCATTGATTTTAAAAATTTTTAAAGAGAATTTTCTTGGTTTGTTTTTCTTTGATGAAATGAAATTTTGTGTAATGAATGTTATTGATGAAACAAGGTATAAGGTCAAGTGATCTCTCTCTCTCTCTCTCTCTCTCTCTCTCTCTCTCTCTGTGTGTGTTAAGATTATGAATGTCATAACCTTTATCAGCATCTTCTTTATAAGATCCTTTTTATAATCTAATAACAGAACTTGTTTGTTTTTGTTGAAAAATTTTCCATTTCTTTTCACTTCTTCTTTTTCTTCTTTCCATCATTAGACTTTGAATCAAATCAAATTTACAAATGAAACAAGAAAGAGTGAGTGAATTAGAAAATGAAACTTTGAACCCATCATTTTTTTTTTATTTTGGTATTAAAATCAATAATCATTCCATCACCAAGAGCATGAGAGAGAGTGAGAAAAAAACAACCAGGCCGCCAATCCATTTGATTTGATTGATTGATGATACTAATGGAAAAACAAAACTAAGAAGAAAAAACAACAACAACAACAACAAGATTCTTTGATTCATTTATTCCCATTCTTTATTCAATGAAATAACATATTTTGATCAAATAAAGTTTTTTTTATAGGTCAAAACTTGAACTAAAAAATTTTATCATTCAAAAATCTAGATCAATCGGATATTGTTCATATCCAATACATGTACAATAATCGTGAGGAAGAAAAAAAAAATTGAAAAATTTGCAAATTATCATTTCAAACAAACAAGAAACATAAAAACGATACAGACATAGACATATTGAAAAAAAAACATAATCATAAAATCTTTTCGAAAAAAATAATTTGCATCATCATCAATATATTTTTTTATTATATAATTAAAAAGAAAGAAAGAACTAAACTGATTGTATCAAAGTAATTACAACCATCATCATCATCATCATCAACATCGTTTTCGTTTGTCACAATCAATCAATCAATCATCAATCGTTTTACAGTTATCATTTTTTTTCATTCATTCTCCCTACACCATCACCACCACCATAACCACCCTTCTCTAATAATTGATCGTCCCTGAACTTGTGCAAAATAATCATCAAACCTGAAAAGGATTCAATTTGATCATATTGAATACACACACACACACACAATGAAATGTAATTAATTAATTTGTTTTTTTTTGGGGGGGGGGTCATCGATAATCAATCAAATCAGATTAGAAACTCAAAATAGAAATCGTATCACTTTACATTTGTTTAATTTTATTCATAATGCTGTTGTTGATGATGTTCTTTCATTCATGATCAATCAATCAAATAAACAAGGTCTAATAAAAATCGATGAAATCAATGACAAACAAACAAACATCAACAACAACAACGAAATATTTTGGCATCGTTTCAATTCAATAATAAAATTATTGGAATTGAATCGATCATCAAACGATGATGATGATGATGATGTTATTGATTGTTTATCGATCGATCGATCAATCGATCAATTAATCAATTAATTAATTTGATAAATCAAAAAAAAATGATCAAATCTATTTGACCAATGTAATTGTTTTTCTGATACAAGACAAAATATAGAAACATTTAGCAGAAATATCGTCATCATCACATACACCATACACATATACGAAAAAATCAAATAAATTTTCCATCATCATCGTCTTTTTATATTTGGGATTGATTAAATCAATGAATGAATGAGCGATGGTGATGCATGAATCTAATATCGATTGATTGATTGATTGATTGATCGATTAATATCGATATGATTTGATATATTTAAAAAATGATGTTTTTTTTCGTTAGCAACCGATAAATGATAATTGTTGTTTGTTTGTTGTTTGAATATTGATTTTGTCACTGTATTTGTCAAATTGAATGGGTTCATACATGTTATCATTTGTGTTTGATGGAAAAGTTCTAGATCTCGATTCTGTATCGATAATTTCAATGGGATGGAATTTTTCCCGAAAACAAACAAACAAACAAAATGAACAGAATCTAATTAATTTGGCCAATTAGGAATTGATTTTAAATTAAATGAAATTTTCATTGCTAAATGAATTTTAAAAATATGAAAAAAATTTTCCAATTAATTCTACAAAATGAATTTATTTATTTTTCGTGGTGGGAAAATTTTCTCGTTAATCTAAAACAGGGCAAAAAATTTCCAAGGAAAAACTTTTCTGGGAAAATTTTTCCAAATAACTTTACAAGATTATTTTTTTTTTTTTGAATAGAATTTTGTTTTTTTTCTTTAGTATTTCGTCGCTAATATGATCATCAATTTCCACTTCGTTTCCATATTTTTGTAAGAAAAAAAAAGAATACTAAAAATTAAATGATGAAGAAGAAGGAAAATTTCCTTATCATTTTTTCCAGAATATTTCTTTCCATTACTTACTGTAGTGTGATTTTGAATGAATGGATAATTTTTTTTCTACATTTTCATGTTCTGTACATTGTAAATTGATGCCTGTATCTGAATTTGATGATGATGATTTTTCATTCATTCGATTAAAATCATCATTATCATCATTTGCATATATTTGTCATTGAAAGTTGAAAACCAAAAGTTTTTTTTTCTTCTTCATCATTCAAAAAACCTACATGGCCATATATTTTTAGCCATTCTCTTTCTTTCTTTCTGCCATTCATTATCATTATCATCATCTTATTTGCATCCAAGATATATATCAACCTACCAAAAAAAAACATTATCATCATCAACAACAACAACTAGTAAAACAAAAATGTCATTAACATTTTAGTCATATGCTAAACATTATTGGTGTTTTTTTTTCTCGTTGATATTTTTTTTCTTTTGATGATTCTGATTAGATATTTTGTCTGTTTGTTTGTGTGTTTATTTATAGTGATTCTTGTGGGTGTTTTAGGCTTGAAAAATTTTTCAGTTTGTTTGTTTTGTTTTCATTTTATTTCAAAAAAAATTGATAAAATTTTCAGTAATTTCTTTCTTTCTGATTTCATAATCATGATTATTTTATTTTTATTTTTTTTTTTTTTTGATGTTTAAAAATTAGTAAAAAAAGCATTGATGAAAGAAAACCGGATCCAAATGAAATGAATTCAAATCTATTCGATTCAATCAATCAAACGATTGAAGCGGCAGATTGTTTTTTTATGGTTTTGTTTTGATTTTCAAATTTTATTTGGCTACTCTGCCAATTTTTTGATTTAAACATATTTTTGGATTTTGTTTTTTTCTGATTATTTGAAAAATTTCCAGAAACAAAACCAAAGAGAGAAAAAGGAAATGTTCCAAGGTCTTGGATTTTGTTTTTGTTTTTCCTTTCGCAGCTCTCTCCCTGACACACACACACACACACTCTGTCACTAAATGATTTTTATCGCAAATCCGTCAACAACAAAAAAACTAGCCAAACGATATCACGATTTGATGATGGTAGTAGTCAACGATATCGGGTTGATATAGAAGAAAAAAACCCAAAAAAGAAAAAAATTCACATTAGAAAATACAAACCGATGGTTAACAAAAAAAAAATCAATGATAATGTCCATGGATAAAATAAAAAAAAAACGAAGATTTTTTTTCGATTTTCAATCAATCAGTCGATTAAATCAATCAGAAAAAAAATCAGTATTGAATGGATTGTGATTGAAAGAAAGAAATCAAAAAGAGGTGGCCAAATTAAGCAAGAAAAAAAAATGATACCCATTCTCAAGGTTTTTTTTATACAAAGAAACTAAATAACTTTTATCGGTCATTAAATAGGGTCAATCTGAATTGAATGAAACAAATAGAAATAAAATAATGATGATGATGATTAGATTAATGATCAATAATTTCACATGATTGATTTTTTTTTTGATTTTCCAAAATAATCAATGTGAATGAATGAATGATTTCATTGAATATTGTATATAGAGAGGCTAATAAAGAAATGATAATCAATAATGATCATGAATTTCTTTTTCATTTTTTGCATCATTATTGATTGATAAATTGAAATCAAATCTGTACATAGTCATCATCATCATCATCATGTCACAGTAGTTTTATTTTGGACGAAATGTACTTTGAAATTGTCTTCTTTTTTTTCCATAAGTACCCTTAGAGTTTTCAATCATTAATGTACCCTTATAATTTTGTTGATGATGATGATGATGATGATGTGTAGATGTTTGTTTCAAAGTAGAATACTGGACTAAATAGAAAATGTCAAAGTAAATTTAGATTATCATCATTACTCGAATTTGCGTATATATATAAATACTAAATGAATGTCGCAAGGAATGTGTTTCAAAATATAAAAAAAAATTGTTGATTGGAAGCAAAAAATTGAAGAACTCTATACAGTTTGCAAGATGTGAAATGAAAAATGTCAAAAGATCATTTAATTAACTTATGAAAATGTTTTTGACATTTTTCTTCAAAAAAAAAACCCAAAATTGATTTCCAGAATAACCGAATAACAATAAACCGAATCAAAATTTAATTTTCACAAAAAAATTCTTGTTTTTTGTTTTTCGGAATTGGTATGAATTACATCCATCGATCAATTTTGTTTTTGTTTTTTTTTGCATTTGAAAATGTCATGTTTTGTTCACTAATATTTCAGTAATTTGTTTTTCACTCAGTCACTCACAAATAAGCCTTCTTTAATGGTTTCGTTTCAAAAACAAATCAAAAAAAAAAGAAGAAGAGAAATTCTTTAAAACAAAAACGATGAACAACAACAGATTCTGGGTGAAAGAAAAAAGAAAAAATCTCTTCGATCAAGCCAGAAAAAAACAAGGAAATTTCTATGGATTTTTTTTTATTGCTTATGGGCAATAAAACAAATATTTTTTAAAAAAAAAGAAAAAGAAAACGCGAATATCATTTGATTCAGGCAACAACAACAACAAAATACCATTTTACAAAATGTCTATT